TGTGTCGTAAGTTCTTACCTAAGTTTGACTGACCTGCGCAAGGTAAACCAGCTTCGTTAACACCACTGTCAAAATCAAACAACCAGCAACATACCACGCAGAACACGTTTCTTGGAGTTATGCTACAGGTGATGTCCCCAACGTAAATCAGAACATTTATTCCCGTTATTCGAAAAGTCTGGTATGTTCGAAAATCTGACAGTGACGACACCCTGATTCGCCGGCTTCTTGGTCGCAAACGGCTGTTTCGTGATTTGATACCAAACTTGTGTATCAGTTCACTGTACGACAAGAGAGTACACAGTTGAATGACTACACTCTAATGGGCGGGCACCACTGCCCAGCCTGTAGGAGCTTTATATGTTCCACCACTGGTTTTAACAAAAGCACTCACTACTACATGCGGTGGACGTTTGATGAACAAGCTGAGTTGTAAGGAGCACCATTTTGTGTCACATATGCTAGGGCTTTGTACCGTGAATTTTTTGACGGTCGGTCTCCTTTTCCCATAAGTAACGCTGCGCTTAATGGAAAACCACCCTATGTTAGCCTATCTTCCCAGAAAAGCTGCTGAGTGAATGCATAAATCTGGATTCCGAGCGAAGATCTTGATACGGAGTAATTCAAGTGATAATGTTTCGCTCTCTATTGACTTTGGTTCTAATAAGGCACGAATGTTTTCCATTTCAGCCATGACGACTGTGGAGCCCCAACAGACTGAAAAACCGGTTCAGTCGAAAATCGGGATAATCTATCCTCCACCGGAGGTCCGAAACATTGTCGATAAGACCGCCAGTTTCGTTGCTCGGAATGGACCAGACTTCGAGTCTCGGATTCGCCAAAACGAGATCAATAATCCAAAGTTCAATTTTCTCAACCCAGCGGATCCCTATCATGCTTACTACCAGCACAAAGTACGTGAGTTTGCTGAGGGAAAGACAAGTGAACCTGCGGCTTTGAAACTCACAACACCAAGTGCTGCACGTCTTGGTCAAGACACTCCAAAGTCAATTCAGGAGACTTTTATTCCAAAGGAACCACCGTCCGAATTCGAATTTATCTATGACCCACCGTCAATCAATGCAATGGATATCGACATTATCAAGCTGACAGCACAGTTTGTTGCACGAAATGGACGGCAATTTCTAACCCAATTGATGAACAGAGAGCAGCGTAACTACCAGTTTGATTTTCTCAGGGCACAACACAGTATGTTTGGCTACTTTACGAAGCTGGTTGAGCAATATACAAAAATTTTAATTCCCCCGAAAGATATCGCGGACAAATTGAGCGATGAACTGGAACACCCGAAACGTTTGCTTGATGATGTGAAGTATCGGGTTGAATGGCACAAGTATCAGGAGCGGCAACGAAAACGCGAGGAAGAGGCGGCCGAAAGGGAGCGAGTTGCTTATGCCCTCATTGATTGGCACGATTTTGTCGTTGTGGAAACAGTTGACTTCCAACCAAATGAGGCGGGGAATTTTCCAGTGCCCACTACACCCGACGAAGTTGGTGCTCGTATGCTGGCTGAGGAACGAGGTATGCAGTTGCCTCCTAAAGTTCCCGCTGCTCCACCTCCACCCCCTGGTTCTTTGGGTTTGATGCCTGCAGACCTGGACGAGGAAGATGAAGATGAAGAAGGTGATGAAGAGAGTGGGGATGATGAGAGATTATCTGACGCAGAAACTGCAGATGTTCGAATGCCAGAGCCGGTGTCCCTGGAAGCCAAACCTGTTTTAAGTGCCGCTCCTGAAACAGTTGAACCTTCACATGCTAGGCCAGCGCAATCGCCGTCCCCTCCACCTGCACCAGAATTCATGGAGGGGGAAGATATGGAGTTGTCAGAGGACGAGGATCAAGCTCAACCAACTGAGGGTACCTTACCACAGAAGCAACCAGCCAAACATCTGCCGCCCACAACAGATCAGGTTATAATTCGGCCCGATTACGATCCAAAGGCTGTACGGTTAGCGAAACGTGATGAATCAGTCTTACTGGTTTCTCCGTTCACGGGAGAGAAAATTCCTGCACATCAAGCACCAAAACACATTCGTGTTGGTCTTCTTGATCCGAAATGGGTGGAACAACGTGATCGTGAGATTCGTGAGAAAAGGGAACAGGAACAAGTGTATGCTTCAGGCAGTCTGATTGACAGCAGCCTGAAACAGTTAGCAGAACGGCGAACCGATATTTTCGGTGTGGGTGTGGATGAAATCCAAATAGGTAAGAAGTTGGGTGAGGGGGAATCGGTCAAATCGGATAAGTTGATTTGGGATGGACACGCTGCATCTTCTGATTTGATTGTCAAACGAGCGATGGAAGCTGTAACGGCGAAGGATAAGCAGGAACTACTCGAATTCCAAATGAAGTTGGATGCCGCACGTGACAAAATCCACCACCACGGGTTGGTTTGCTGATGATGTCGAATGCACCCCCACCACCTTTGCCACCGTCTATGTTCCCACTTGGAATGCCACCACCACCCGGGCAATGCCAATCCCCCTCCACCACCACCACCACCGGGTTTGCTGATGATGTCGAATGCACCCCCACCACCTTTGCCACCGTCTATGTTCCCACCTGGAATGCCACCACCACCCGGTTTGGCAATGCCAAGCTTTATGGCCCCACCTCCAGGCATGCCACCACCACCTCCACCACCAGCTGTGTCCACTGCTGATGGAGAACCGGAAGCCAAGCGACCAAGAGAGTAGTCGGAGAAGCTTACTGTTCACTATCTCGTTGCATGTAAATGGATTGCTCTTTTTGGCCTCTACTGCTGTTTCACCCTTGTGAGTTTGCAGTGACTTTGCAATACATCATTTTCAACCATCTACCTGTTGCTTAATGTAATCAGAGGTCAGATTTACGGATCACGCATTCTTAACGCGCAAACCACAGGTTAAAAGCTTCGAAATACTAACGATAAGCAACAAATGGCTTATCAGATGAAGTGGCGAACCAATGTTAGCATTCGAGTTCTGAAGGATTGGTGATATTTTACCTGGTTGGTTGTCCTCTGAAATTGTTGTTTGGGTTATCCCGAGATTTAGTTTATAGAATCCTGAGAACTTTACTTTCCCCAGTACAGGGGATGGATGCATAATTTTGTAGCTTACTTGGCGTTTCTGCTGTTGCACCCCCTCAGGTTGATTGAACGCACTACACGCGTCCACAATAGATATGCTAACGTCAGTGGCTGTCTAATTATCGTTTGATCTCACTATGAATACTGTTTGTGAATAGCAACGGGCATTTTTGTGTCTGTAGTGTAGATAGATGAGCTGAAGCAACAAATAAGAAACTGGGAGGCATAAAAGATGAACAAAGTAGTGGTCGTGACATTCACCTTTGTTGAGGAAATTAGTCGAACAGGACACGTGGTAACAACAATATCAGGGTAATCATGGATTCTCTTATCGCAATCGGAACTCGTCGATGGAGGATCATTGGTGGGTTTGCTCCAGTTGCAGCATCTGCTCGTCACATGGTGCCGACA